ATCGGGATGTTCGTTTTCTGCCTCGGAGAATATAATAATTTCGTCTCTGTAAATCACAACACCTTGGAGATTTTCTAGTATTGTTGGCAACCCATCTAAACGTCGTGGGGGGCACTGTACAATTCAAGTGGCATCCTAAAACATTCCTACTGCTGACCGTTCACACTGGAAGTTCTTATATGACGATCCTCTTCCACAATGCGTAGCTGCCAATATTCTGAGCGGAGGTCAATCAACGTGATCCACTTCGCGATGGCTTGCGCGCAGCGGCATGCGTGCCTAAAGAATGCACTTTAGAAGTGATGAAGTCATTTGGAGAGAGACTTATGATGGAACATGATTTTCTTAATGATGAATCAGATTCCGATATGGATGCAATTGACTAACCAATGACCCAGCTCAGCTGGGTCGCCTGCATACCCCAACCACTTTACTTGTCTGTTGTGAATCAAATGGTAGCTTGTCAACCAAACAAGCGATGAAAAATGTTTATAACGGGTAAAAACGTGAGCGCTTAACTGGTCACATTAAAATCACCGGAGGCATAATTAGGAAACCCATTTTGCTAGTGGCAGGAAAAAGAAGGGAAATTCCGGGCTTTAAGTAACTAACCAGGTTATTAACATGAACCCAGGCGCCGGTTATTTTCAGCGCTAATTTACAAAGAGGGCTGGAACTCCTAGTATTTCACCTAGTAGTTCAGCCCGGCTCAAGCTATCGCCATCTGATGAGTCCAAACCAGGAGGTAAACGCGGTCGTGGTGTTCCACTGTTGGGAGAAGCGACACCCAAATATTTCCATTTCAGATACGGTCCTTGCGATCGGAATGACCGAGGTTTACCTCAAAGTAAACCGAGGTCGCAACCCAACCACACAGCGGTTTCCCCAAATTCAACTTTGAACTCTTGACTTTGTACGGAAGGTGACGGGTTTTGAGACTGAGTTGGATGAACTGATGGTCAGTATCGACGTTAGCTCGCTCTTTACCAAGGGGCCAATATGTGACAGTTTGGAGATAGCTAAATAGCATCTAACTGTGGAGAGTAAACTAGGAGACAGGACAAAGCTTACAGTAGATTAAATTATGGAAGAAATGTCCTTGTGCCTAAGAATGTCTTTTTTCATGCTCCAATCTAGATTATAAACTCAGGAACAAGGACTTGCCATGGTTTCGCCAATATTCCCTGTAGTAGCAAATTGGTACATGGAAGAGTTTGGAAGGAGGGCGCTGACTAACTCTTGTAGCTCACCGAAAATTCAGTGGCGCTAATTAGATGACAACTTTGTTTTCATAAAAGGGAATAAGAGAGGCGCGTATCTAAACCGCTTGAACAGCCTTGCCGAGATTATAAATTTCACTATGGAATCGAAATTTTGCAGAGGCACATTGGCAATCCTTGAGTGATTAGTTCACAGGAATAGCGGTAGTCTAAAAACGACGGTATATCGTTAGCAGATGAACACCGCTGGTGTACTCTACAATAGATCAGGTAACCCAAGGCATGTGTATGCTAGAATCGCCTCATCCCTGTTTCACAGAGCCCAGAATGTTTGCATAGAGGATGAAGATAGGAAGCCCGCACGGAAAGAAGCAAGGAACCAATTATTTGATAGTAGTAAATACAAAAGAATGTATTTGAGAAATACGCTTTATTTTCGATTTTATCGACGGACCCATGAATGCTGTATAGCACTGCTGCTGCTGCTGCTGCTGTTGCTGCTGCTGCTGGAGCCCTCAATATTTAATGCTCTACAGCAAGTGAATGTCAAAACGGAAAAGCAGAAGACATGGTTACTGTGAGGACATCGCAATTGAGTACATGCTTTCCAAGCGCGATCGTGCGTAAGATAAAGGTGCTAAATGAGGTCGCAGCTTTTCAGATATATGTTCCACCAGGATCGGTTTGGAGTCACAGTCTGTATTTTTGAATACATGGCTGTAGGCCTCCTCGACTGATCTTGATGGCCTCAGTTGTGTAAAGTCTTGACCGAGTATTGTATCGTAGATGTAAGCTGCTGTTGGATTGGCTCGAATGTAACTTATGATCTCGCTTGCTTCTGATGGGTGCAGCCCATTCAACCTCATTAAACTCACAAATACTTCTTTGATGCAAACGTCCGAAGTCACTGCAGCTAACTGACAACCTAAAACACACCCCATTATGTGGAGTTTCAGTTAAAGAAATTATAAGAAAAATCGTATTATTTTTTCAGCATCCGAGTGCAGCAGCAAACGTGATTCCCTGCAGAGCAGCATGTAGCATTTCCTGGACTGAAACACAAATAGGACGTCGCCAAATAAAGCGTTAAAATGCCCTAGAAGGTGTTCAATTACTTACATTTTAGTAGCAATTATATGGCGGACCCACGAATGCTGTTTAGCTCCGGCTTGGTACAGCAAATCAACAATGGAGAGATTTATTTTAGAACTTCAAACTTTGGCTCGCGGTTAAAATTCCAGCACGTGGGATTTTGTATACAAAATACCATGATATCTAAGTTGGAAGCGTGACATTCTGGAACTCTTCTTTGCGGGGTTCGTGCTTCTATCATTTTAAATCAGGTTGGGGTGGTTGCAACCATCAGAAGCGCACGGCCTCACAAGTTACAGTCGAGCAAGCTCCAACACCAGCTTGCATGTACGACTCAATACTCCGTCGAAACTTTTCACAACTGAGGCCCTCACGATCAATCGTGGATGCCTACAATCATGCACTTAAAATACAGACTGTGGCTCCAAAGTAACCCTCGCAGAACACACACCTGAACATCCGTGACCTCATATAACACGTGGTACTTCTGCACGTTCGCGCTTGGAAGAAATACGCTCAATTGCGACGTCCTCACAGAAACCACACACTCTGCTTTTGTTTTGTCACTTGGTTGGTGCAGAACGTTAAATATTGAGAGAAGCAGCAGCAGCAGCAGCAGCAGCAGCAGCAGCAGCAGCAGCAGCAGAGAAATGGTCGTTGGCATAGTGGCTCGTCGTCGAAAGGCAGACTACAAATCGATGGGCAAAAGCATCTTGACTTCGGCCGTTTGTACCCTTGAGGCCATTGAAATGTTTGCCTTTCCATCGGATGGCTGACTCACTTGATTTATTTGGTGAATTGCAATGAGCTGTGTGAGGAATTGCTTGTCTGAATACATCGGTTCCAATGATTATGTAGCTACTCTTCTGAAATGTGTAAATATCTCCGTTTACCAGGCTGTAATGTGCATCAAATCAGAAAAAGCGACTATAAAGTGAACGCTTCGCGTTCGCCATCGCGGTTGCAAATCTAATAATTGACACTAATAACCACACGTCTGCGTAAGCCGAGGTGAACCCATATATCCTAATGAGCATAATAATGGTAACACCAATAACATCTCATCATAAAGTAAACTAATACATCTCCGGTGTACATCGACATTAGTCCAAAGATGAGAAATGAGCAGAACATTTAACAAGACATCCTATGTTAAAGTTGAATGACATAAACGAAGATCTGCGAGTAAGTCATCTACATCTTATTCACAGTACACGGTTGACAGCTGGTTATGGGTCATTTATAGTGCGGTATTTGCGAAACCGAATTCAGTTTGCTTTCGCAGCAAATGTCATATTCAAATTAGCCTCATAAATCAGCCAGCCATTGTAGAAAATTGGTCCGAATGGATAAATAGGTAAAATGAGCTATTGATTCCGGTTGTGCATAACCTTCTGTATTGTCTCAATTCAAACGCCTGAAGGGCAGCATGGACTCTAAACTAGAAGGCGAGAAAAATTGAACGTGACCCGATGTAAATACAAGTGCTCGCAATTTTTGCTGTCACCATTATGATTAACTAATTTGTGTGTGTAAATTTCCAGGGCCGGGTAGGCAAAGCAAGCCGTTTTTGTGTAGCTGCATTTGTGAGTCTAACTTCGCGTAACAAGTTTGATTTCCCACCAAAATGCATACCTGTCAATGCCCAGTATTGAACAACAAATTTCAAACGTTATGCAAGCATGGAATCTGGAAGAGCACCCTATGGATGTTCCATGTCGACTAGGTGGTCGGTATTTACGTTGAAATTTTGCCATGGACCAGACTAATTAGCCCATTTGGAAATTTCTCTAGATTGCGCAAATGTTTATTCGCTCATGGGATTTTCACATGCAACCCCATGAACAGCGTTAGGTAAAGATACCAGTGTTTTGTGTGACAAATCCTTTATTCGTTGAAGTCAACCCGGAGAGAATGCTGAAGTTAAGCATTACCGGAGCAAGTTGATTAACTGCTTGTTACTCCTTTTCTAAAGATTTTCAGCAAGCACCCTAAACTCGTTCGCGTCCTGAACGACTTGCCTCCTGTGACGTCGAACGTCATGCATTACATTTGCACTAAGGGCCCACCTGTTTCGGCCCGCCCTCGCCGACTAGCCCCGGACAAGCTCAAAGCTGCGAAGGCGGAATTCGAGCAAATGCTCGAACTGGGAATCATCCGCCCGTCTAAAAGTCCATGGGCATCACCATTACACATGGTGCCGAAGAAGTCCGGTGACTGGCGCCCTTGTGGTGACTACAGGGCACTTAACAAAGTTACCGTCCCGGATATATACCCTATCCCGCACATGCACGACTTGACCTCAGCTCTAGCTGGCAAGTCTATCTTCAGCAAAGTCGACTTAGTCCGTGCCTACCACCAGATACCTGTCGCGCCAGACGACATTGCTAAAACAGCAGTCATCACGCCATTCGGCCTATTCGAGTACCTCAGAATGCCTTTCGGCCTCAGCAACGCTGCCCAAACTTTTCAGCGTTTCATTCATGAGGTAACGCGAGGACTCGAAGGCGTTTATCCTTATCTAGATGACATTCTTATCGCGAGCTCTTCTGATGAAGAACATCTTCATCAACTCGACGCTCTCTTCCAACGCTTAACCCAGCATGGGGTTACCGTCAACCCCGATAAATGCGAGCTTGGCCAAAGCTCCATCGACTTTCTTGGCCACCGCATATCTGCCTCTGGTATTGAAGCTCTGCCAGACAAAATCCAGGCACTGAAGGACTACCCTGCTCCCAGTTCCTTCAAGCAGTTACGCCGATTTCTTGGCCTGGTTAACTATTATAGACGTTTTATTCCTAACTGTGCGAGCATTGTTCAACCAATGACTGACTTGCTCCGCGGTAAACAACGGTCTTTTCACTTTACAGACGACGCTAAATTGTCTTTCGAGAAGCTTAAAGACGCTATCTCCAACATAGCGCTTCTCGCCCATCCAGACACGTCTGCATCACTCTCTCTGACAACTGACGCATCCGACACTGCCGTCGGTGCAGTTCTTCAACAACTCATCGACCGTCGATGGATACCTCTAGGTTTCTTCTCAAAGCGCTTACAACCTGCCGAATCGCGATACAGCACCTTCGGTAGGGAAGTGTTAGCTATCTACCTAGGTACCCGACATTTCCGTCACTACCTCGAAGGTCGACATTTCACCGTCTTCACCGACCACAAGCCATTGATCTACGCAATCAATGGCGCAACAGACAAGTACTCGCCGCGGGAAACTAGACACCTAGACTACGTTTCTCAGTTTACGACAGACGTACGTCATGTCTCAGGTGCTCTCAATCCCGTCGCGGATGCGCTTTCACGCATTCAACAGATCAGCTTATCGCCTGGCGCCAACATTGATCTAGCCGCTATGGCTGCTGCCCAACAAGCTGATCCCGACATAAGCAAGCCACGACGCAACACCACTGAGACGATCACCATTGATCGACTCAAGCCAGCATTCTTCGACAAGTCTGACTCGCCGGTGCAACAAGCACCTTCACAGCCTGTGCCATCACAGCCGGCACCGCAACCTCAGACGAGTCAGTCCGGTCCAGCAGATCCGACAACCCCAACCGACAGCACTCCTACCCGCCCTACTCTCAATCAACGCGGTAGGAAGCTCAAACCTAAGGTTCGTTTTTCGGACTCCGTTCGCACTTACTTTTTTACGTAGAACGTGCCTTCGAAATTTTCTGCTCTTACTAAACGTTTTTGAAAATCCACAAAAAAGACCAAAACGTTTTGAAATTACCAAAAAAGAGCAAAATCTATTGAAAACCCAAAAACAGCTTTGCACGTTTTTCGCTTTGCACTCTTTTGTGTATTGCTATGCATTTATGCTGTTTTTTCATTTTGCTTTCCATATACACCGTCGGTTGGTTGCACCTCGGTTTCACTTTCGCTGGATCTCCGCACGTCAACTGGAAGTTCAACAATCTTCCTGCTCAACTGCTTACGTGAACTTTATTAACTGTCCCCCCACAAACAGTTTTTTTACCGTTTCGACACCGTAGGGAGGACACGGGTGGGAGCCCGCTAGGGTCCGATTGCATGGTTCTCCCCCAGCAGCTGCATCGGGTTTCACAACCTGGTCTCGCAGAAGGCTGGCCCGCGACGGACAGTCCTCACGTAGATCGAAGGACTGCTTACACAGTCCCTTCTGGGAGAGGGCTATGTAGCAGTCTGGAGATTCCCCGGTTTGCTTGTGTAAAATTCTAACCAAAATTCTATAATTGTACACTTAGGCAACCGGTGTGGTTTGTTGAACTGCTTGCTGAGTTCGAATGCTTTACTTGCTCATCGCCATTTTTGCTTGGCGCTCGCTTCGGTTGCAACGCGCGACTGCTCTGTGTGCTGTGTTTGCTCCGTTTCCCTAGCTAGAGCGTACACGGTGTCGTTCGTTTATAGCTAGCTAACAGGGAATCTTTTGCTGAACCAATAAAAGTTTCCCTGCAACTCGATCTGTCTTCTGGAATCGCTCTCTGGGCTCCCGGAATAGGCAACCCTCTAAAAGAGGGGGTGTGTTCGTTGCGCTAATTAGGAGGACCAAGTTTATCCCTGGTTTATCGGTTAAACCCGCTGAGAGGGGTGGATTATTTACTTTTCCTCGTGTGTCATTTTACAATAATTGGATCGTGGAAACGATAACTGAAATATATTTTCGGGCACGTTTTAAAATCTAACAAATATATTCTTCCAAACATTTACTGACTTTTGTAATAAAGAGATATAAAGCATTTGATTCAATCCACGATGGCTGCATCAGACAAGAGACCAAATAGGGTGGTGGTGCTTTGTTGACGCGTTCGGCACCTAAGCTCAGTGCCGAACGCGTCAACAAAGCACCACCACCCTATTTGGTCTCTTGTCTAATGCAGCCATCGTGGATTGAATCAAATGCTTTATATCTCTTTATTACAAAAGTCAGTTAATTTTTGGAAGAATATATTTGTTAGATTTTAAAACGTGTCCGAAAATATATTTCAGTTATCGTTTCCACGATCCAATTATTGTAAAATGACACACGAGGAAAAGTAAATAATCCACCCCTCTCAGCGGGTTTAACCGATAAACCAGGGATAAACTTGGTCCTCCTAATTAGCGCAACGAACACACCCCCTCTTTTAGAGGGTTGCCTATTCCGGGAGCCCAGAGAGCGATTCCAGAAGACAGATCGAGTTGCAGGGAAACTTTTATTGGTTCAGCAAAAGATTCCCTGTTAGCTAGCTATAAACGAACGACACCGTGTACGCTCTAGCTAGGGAAACGGAGCAAACACAGCACACAGAGCAGTTGCGCGTTGCAACCGAAGCGAGCGCCAAGCAAAAATGGCGATGAGCAAGTAAAGCATTCGAACTCAGCAAGCAGTTCAACAAACCACACCGGTTGCCTAAGTGTACAATTATAGAATTTTGGTTAGAATTTTACACAAGCAAACCGGGGAATCTCCAGACTGCTACATTCTTTGCTCCTGAAGCGGAAGTAAGCATGTGAGATAAGTGGCTGGTTTTAATGTTAAATGTTTTCTTATCAGGGCTTTTCGGAACTCGCCATACCAGTTGCGACAACATTTTCAATGCGTGAATAGGAAGTGACTTTGCTTCTCAGCCTTAATAATTCGGCAAATTCGGAGCCAAATACTGGCTGGTACTAGGTTGATTTTATATGCATGACTATTTGATCTCGCTCCAGGGACTCATATTGTGTCCATGGGTGGTAAGTTTGAAGATACTATGTTTGGTGGGTTATTAAACTGGCGCTAAGATCAGCCGAACAGGTAGTGCATTCTTCAGCATAATTACCAGGAGGTAAGGATCCACACCGAATCCATCTGACAGCACATTAGAGGTAGCATGTTAATAGTCGAGGGAAATTCCGCCCCTGAATTGTCCCCTTGGGCGAACAAAGCAACATCTGAAATGTCTGTGCTTCTTGACTACGTATGGCCTTCGGCGAAAATTAATATTATGGTATGCACATGAATAATAAAATGATTTGTACGAACAATGTGTATAAAAGAAGCAAAAGGAGTAAGATGAAATGGATTCGCAGATGTGCTTTGAAGTATTTTAGTAGGGTACCCCACATGCACTTCAACCGACAGAGGTCGCAAATGTGACTGTACGGAAAAATTCAGGCTAAGCTATAATTTGTTCTAGTGTACAAAATTGCGGAAAACTTGTCATTGTTCCATTCGAAATTTTGTCCGTCTACTTGCATCTGTCCTCTATGGCAGCCGATGCGTCCTAAATTACTGAATTTCATTTGGAGAACAACTGTAACCACGTGAGTTGACTTATTAGGTGCTGTTCATAGTCAGTGTGAAGACGAACCACTGCGTCTGAAGTCAATGCCTGAGTCCGTAGCGTCCGATTCCGAATCAGTTATCTATCTCTAACAACCTGCAATGTTCAGCCACTCTCATGCGAGTAGCGATATTCTCTTATATAATTTCGGTGTAAATAGTTTATTTTACTTATAATGTCTATCTTATGTTATGCCGGAATATCACAGCTAACAAGCCATAGGGTAAACGGCACGCTACACATCCGTGTCGTTACGGCACGTATGATCTTCAGTAAGTGCGAATAATTGGTATCAGGAAGCCAGATTGGTTAATGAATCATAGTGCCCGTCAAACTCTGCTGCCATAACGTAAGAAACATCCTAAACTGAGGCACCTATTAGACAGCGTTTACATCCAATGATGAAATAATCGCTGGGCATTTGGGACTATCTGACCTGCCCACTAAGAACATACTTACATAGAAAAATAAATAGTTTATACTCGTCAGTGCAAAGCACGCTTGTAAAGGCATGATCATAGTAATACAAACATGTATGGTCGGTAATTGCACAAAAGAATTATAAGTAAACCAGCAACATATGTGGACGTATGCATGTAATAGTTTGCCTGTGTGTGCAAGTAGTCATGTTGAGTGCTTTTGTTAATGTGCCTCTGAATTTGTGGTTTTGCTTGCCGGATTCTGCATCGAAGAAAGATCAAAGGAAGACTTCGAGTTGGATGACGTAAGTGACGTGTGTAAGATCCGCCGAAAAGGCAGGTAGCAGTGACTTTATTTAGTGGCGAATCACATCCGCCACGTCACAGTGCTTTTAGACAGACATTTGTGAATTTTCATAGGGAGACCCCATGCCAGACGGAAACCAACCACGTTCTGGAACACTGCTGCCGAACCATTTGTTGAAACGGGATTAAGCCAAACCACCCAGATTAGCTCGACGGAAGACCCTACATCATTCGATTATTGAATGTTTGGTCACCAATTGCCCCAGTCAGCAACACATGCATAAAATTCCGTATTCTCAGAAGATACTGTGTGGGGCGCATCAATACTTTCTTACAGAAGAATAATACACAAATTTTTCTATTGACCTGAGATGTTACAGATGCTGTCGCGGCACAATGGATGAGATAGTGGCGCTGCTGACACTCAATTATTTCCCAAATTCCCGGCCAAGTTTGTACATAATGTGCCAAAGAAAATGATGTATCTTTCATGCTGGAGTAAGCAAACAATATTTGCTATTTTCTAGGCAATAAAAGGACGAGATGTAGAGTGAGATGCGACAATCCTCATGTCAATGATTGTAATCCAAGCTATGTCGAACCAAAGGCAAATAATACTTTGGAACTTATAGTCAAAGATACTCTGATGGCAAATTTATTCTTTTCTTTTTACACTTATACTATTCTGCATGTGTTTTAGGAAATTAAGTAGGAAAATATGACTGTGTCGGAAAGGACGTATCCATGAAGCGAAGGGTATGCAGTGCAAGTATATTTACTATAGCCGGAAGAGTTAAGAACCTCCTAGCGTAGCGGGGTCAATCCAAAAGTCAAAGCCGGAAAAGCTAAGACTGTAAGTGTCGGTAAGTGTTCTAACCATTCCCAGACCAAATGTGTACCATAATTCGATTCTCAAATACAATGTGCAGCCGACAGTAAATGGTCAACAGATAAGCACAATGGAGCGAAGTGGTTCTAATGTCAGAGTGGTTTAAAGCGAAGTGATCAATCGTCAATCGATCAGCCAAGGAAGCAGTGCACATGGAACGCGGGAGTAGCAAGCTTAACCATTGGGCAATGCAAATCCGGTAAACTCTTGTGGTTAATCAAAGTCCAAATGTGAACGCGAAGCAAAGTAACTGAAGTTTTATCATGCGAAATCCAATAAGCAACCAAGGGGT